TCTCTCTCTCAAATAAATAAATAAAATCTTTAAAAAAAAAAAAAATTACTTCAGTTGTTTTGGACGTTGAATTATGTTGTGTATAATCAGTAGCTTACATTTATTGCGTGCCTAACACGTGCTGTGTGTTATGTCACAGCTCTTTCCATGTACTAGCTCATCTAATTCTCAAAACAACTCCTTTGTGAGTCAAGACCATAGGGCTTAGAGAGCTTAAGTAACTTGCCCAAGAAGCCTCAAATCAGTTATTAAATGGTACTGTCAGGACCAAGTCCCAAGTATGTCTGAATGCAAAGTCAATATGTGCTTAACCTACCATACTGTATATGCTGTTTCAGGTATTCAGAAAGATGAGTTTAATTCAGTATCTTGATTGAGAGGAGGCTTTAATTTGTTGAGACAGGAAGTACAATAAAGAGCACAAGAGAAAAATTTTTAATAATCAGAATATATTTAGTCTGTACTTACTTACATCAGACAATTATTAATAGTACATATGCACAGATACTGATAATTAAATAATGGAAAAGCTTTTTTTTGTTAATTTGTTGCTCAAGTTTATAAAGACAAATACAGATACAAATAGACTATGTTTATTACAGTTAGTTGACTTATCTCTTGTTTATTGGGTTTTTTGTTTGGGGTTTTGGGTGCAAATGGGTTGTTTTTTAGATTTTCATTTATTTGAGTGAGAGAGTGCGTGCGCACAGGAGGTAGGGGAGAAGGAGAGCAGACTCCTTGCTGAGCAGCAAGGGGCTCTATCCCAGGACCCTGGGATCATGACTTGACCCGAAGGCAGATGCTTAACTGAGCCACCCAGGTTCCCCCAAAATGGTGGTTTTATTAAAGCACAGGGACAGCTAGGGCCCCCTGGGTGGCTCAGTCGTTAAGCGTCTGCTTTCTGCTCAGGTCATGATCCCAGGGTCTTGGGATCGAGCCCCGCATCGAGCTCCCTGCTCAGCGGGAAACCTGCTTCTCCCTCTCCCACTCCCCCCGTTTGTGTACTTTCTCTCGCTGTCTCACTCTCTGTCAAATAAAATCTTTTTAAAAGGGGGGAGGCGCCTGGGTGGCTCAGTCGTTAAGCGTCTGCCTTCGGCTCGGGTCATGATCCCAGGGTCCTGGCATCGAGCCCCACATCGGGCTTCCTGCTCAGCAGGGACCCTGCTTCTCCCTCTCCCTCTGCTGCTCCCCCTGCTTGTGCTCTCTCACTCTCTGTCAGATAAATAAATAAAATCTTTAAAAAAAGAAAAACACAGGGACAGGACCCGTGGGCAGAAACAGCTGCTATTGATCGGTTTTTAATCAATAGTTTAGTTTTTAGTAGTTTACTAATTTGAGCTTTACCGGTTAGGATTTTAGCGAATGTAGGTAAATGATAATTTCACCATTATCGTTAATATTTTATTCTCCATCTGGGTATACAGGCCATTATTTCTGGTATTTCTAGGTTTTTTTTTATTTTTATGGCATTTCTAGTCTTGACCACTGCTAGTCTGTTTTATTCTGCTCAGTGCCTATTGTTTATCTTTTCTTTTCCTAATTCTTTTGTTTTACTGATTTTGTGCTTGGGTTTTGTTTTTTTTTGATGTTTACAAACTCAGTGTAGATTAAAATACTAGGAACATTTAAACTATGTATCTCACTACTAGGGGTTTATCCTACATACTTACATGAATATAAAATGATTGATGTTCAAGGCTAGTCTTTGCAACATTGGGTGTAATAGCAAAAGATTGGAAAACATCTTAGTCTATCTGTAACAGGGAACGTTAAATGAACTTAGAGAAAAATAGCATATTCAAGGAACTTCCATACCTTGGGGAAACTGTAGGACAGAGGTGGAGAGGAAAGGGTCTAAAATATATTGTCTGCTGTTTGCACTTTTGTTGAACCTCTGTAAATACAATTGATTTTGATAAAATGAACTAATTATTACTGCTTTGCCATATTGCAACATGTGAAATATGATTTATTACAGAGATAGAAAGAAAAGAATTGAAAAACCTAGAAGATTTAGCAGAAGTTTAAGCCGAACTCCCAGTCCACCTCCCTTCAGAGGCAGGAACACAGCAATGGATGCACAAGAAGCTTTAGCTAGGAGGTGGGTATATTTTCTATTTGATGCATTTTTCCTTTTCAATTTGAAGTAGATATTCAATTCTGTGGACAAAGTGAATGCTTTCAGGGTTTAAGTCAACTAGTTAAATGTAGCCATGATACATACTGTGCCAATTTTGATCTAGTACTAAGTAGTTTGTTAATTCTCATTTTAAACATTTACCCATTTGTGCAACTGGAAAGATTACGATGTCTGCAACAGTTTGTTTTCCTTCATGATTGATTCATTTTTCTCAAATTTAGCCTCCTAAATATGTTTGGTTTGCAATAGAAACTTTTTTGGAAATCTTAAATCTGATTCAGGAACTCTTAAATTTGGCCTCTGAAATTGCATTGTCCTTTTGTTTTCCTTTTTCAAGAAGACAAAGTCTGAAACAATTCTGTCAACAGGTTTCTTATTTTGAAGGTGGCAAATAATAAACATTACAAGGGGATTTATTTGATCTTATAAATTTTACTGCTGTGATAACAGGGAGATCGTTTTATGTTTTAATTCTGTAAGCATTTCAAAGGTGTTCTCTGGTAATTGTGGGACTACACACAGGGCTGTCTGGCTGAAATGTGCAAAACCGTTGAAAGAACTGCCTCATAGGCAAGAAGTAAAGTAAAATCCAAGTGCTTGTTTTCAGGTTTTCCCATATTCTGAAAACTATACTCTTGATTTTGGGGTTTTTTCCTTATGAAATTGAGTTTGTATTTTTTTTTCATTACAAAAATACAGTTATCACAATGTAACCTGATGGGCTGCTGCCCTGTGAACCCAGCCTGGCAGAAACTCCAGCTGAACAGCAGCAGCAGCAAAGGTGTGAGCTCGCCCCTTCTTCATTCCATTCACCTTAGTGAATGGTGTTAATTCCAACCTGCAATGGCCATTTTAAATACGCATCAATAGTAGTGAATCATACTTTCTTTCTGAAACTAAAATCAACAGAATTAAATAATTTATTATATCAAGTAATTTATTAAGAATGGTCTGTTAAGTCTGACCAGTATTTTTTTTAAGCCCGAAAATCTATTCTTTTATAAGTTCATTGCGCTTTAATTTTTGGCTTTTATTAAAGTTGAAGCTATTACTAGCATCTAAAACTTTAACTTAAAAAAATAATCTACTTAGTGGTTTTCAGATGACAAGTTTACATGAAATAACTCTTAAGAAATACCAGATTGCTCCTTGGCTACTTTGAAATTTGAAGGCAGATCTTTTGTTAATAAGATACTACGGTATATAGACCTTTTTGTTGTTCCTTTTTTGTTTTTATTTTTTTATTTTTTTTTTAAAGATTTTATTTATTTATTAGAGAGAGAATGAGAGAGAGAGAACACATGAGAGGGGATAGGGTCAGAGGAC